TTAAAAATAAAAAAAAATTGTAAAAACTTATTTATTAAAAAATTTGTAAGATTTATTTATTAAACATTTGTATATACATTTCGCGAACTAATTCTAAAATCTTTAATCCATAACAAAATCCATCCTACAATTGTTATATGAAACTTAATTTTGTGCCAACGAAATACATCATAAACGCAGCATACATATATGCTATTGCAAACACAGACTGTTATCTACATCATAAACTGATTGAAGATTTTTCATTGCCGAGGGTGCAGGGAATTCAACTATGAATAAGTCTGCAAGGTTCCACTTCCCCGCAGGATCATCTGCAGGATGACGCGTTAACAAATCATCAGGTGTTTGACTTTCGAACGCAAGAGTTTCTGTATTTTCAGCCATAAGGTCTTCTGACCAGTCATTAAGAACCGCTCTCCATTCATTATTAACGTCAGTATTTGTGACCGAACCATATTCGTTACTATCATTCACGGTGGTCATCTCTTCACTTTCATTAATGATTATGTCTATTTCTTCAGAAGGGATTTCAATACTTTCGGAGAAGCATTCTGGATTCGATTCATGGTTTTCGGCATTATATGTAATCGTGTTTGCATATATACGTTGTTCTAATTCACGTGCAACCTTAATCGCACGATTATGTTATTTCAGCACGCATCTGTGCCATTGAAAATACTTTCCCAAGCTAAATAGAATGTAGAATAAGTATTTAGCAAATAGTTGAACCTAAATAAAACTTACAGACTCTTTTATACCTGCAATCGGTTTCGTTGTACTGAATGTATAAAGCCCATTGAAGAAAACAGTCGTTCACATGACGCTGAATTTATGCAGATTGAAAAGATTCGAACTGCAAGAATACTTAATTCTTTTGTTGCTCCTATCGTAAACTTCCAGTATTCTTGAACGTCATTGAAGTTTGAGAACGTATCATCATCAAATGGATAGTCTTTGTTGATGAATTTTGAGAATTCTGATAAGATAACAGATGGTCGCGTTTTGAACCATTCTTTATAATAGTACTTTACCCATAACCCGATTTGAGGTACGTTTAGTGAGGGAAGATTACTATTAAAGACACTGTTACGGTACTTGGGATGAAGGAAGAAAGACAGAATAAGCAATGGCTGTTCCCACTGTTTCCATCGAGACTCTAGACATTGGACCATATTTTTGCTGAAACTGTCTTCGCGATCCTTATATAACTGCATGAAATAAGCAAATGCATGAAGAACATCTGATAACCGTGCAA